TCAAATCCACCAGATGGACCAAAATTAATAGAAGGAAGAGCAAAATTTTGTTGAATGTGGAAAAAGGACAGTTCCTACATCTTTGACAACAATAAAGTAAAAATCTTAATTTTTTTTTTTAAAGTTTAAAAAAAAATATTAGCAGTCATCATCAAAATGAGAAGATATGACTACTCAAAAAGCAAAAAGCTCAGATTTAATAAAACAAGACATTGCAAAATAAAATGGAACTTGAGGATGTTAAAACAATTACAAAAAAACTGTGATTGTGAAAACTCAAAGCTCAACACTAAATATAAAATTGAAAGACCAACCATTTTATGCACTCCAGCAGGTGATTCCCCAAAAATATCATCAGAAAACATATCATCCAACCTCTCGCTCTGCACAGTTTAACAGAGTAATCATCAAAATTTGAAAATAACTTCATAGCATCACGAAATGTGAAAGGAAATTACACAATAAAGGCACATACAAAAAGAGTACACTGGAAGGCCTTTTTTTCTGTAAATGGGTGCACATGTCAACATTAAAGTGTGCAATTAAAATTGTTTTTAATTAAATTCAACTGGAATACCTTAGGGCTACCTTCTCCTAGTCCACCAGTTCCAGTGGTTTGCTGAGGAACAGAAAGGCCATTTTGTGCAGGCGATTTCCCAACAGAAAAGGATGGTTCAGGAACATAAGTATCAGCACCTTCCACCCGATGGTCACTTTTTTCTCTGAAGACTTCCACAGATGCCACTTGTGCAGTAGACTCTCCAACTTGATCCTTAACTGGCCACAAAGTAATCAAACAAAACATCAGTAGAAGAAACAAGCATACCCCTAATAGAACATATCAAATACTATGCTTCATCACCAAAGTACCGAAAAAGCTCTAGGAGTAAAAGTTTAATAATAAACATGTTACGAGAGAGAAACCAAATAACACAAATTACATTCTAGTAAGCACACCATACTTCATAATGTTGATATCTTTGCATAGAGCTTTAAATCACAACAAATACCACAGCATGAATATTAATTGCAAAATAAAATAATAGATAATTTAGATGATGCTGTACGAATAGCTGGATTTCTTAACAACAAAACAACAATAAATAAATAAAACAAAGTATCCTTCACAAACAATAACCTGACAGTTTGCAACAGAGAAATAATGAAAAAATGTTATTCCACAGATGGTACTCAACCAGAAAATAAACAAACCAACAAAAACAGATCAAGCTTTACAAATCCTAACTTCTCTAGTATCATATATGCTATAAAGAGAAGGTGGAGGCCTCCTACCCATATCTTCTGAAGATGTTCCAGTTTGTTGGTGTTGATTTTTGTACTTTTCCAGGATAGCTTGCCTGCGCTTCCTACTTTCCTCCTTAATTCTTTCAAGATCATCTTCCTCCTGTTCTGCAAGTTGCATTGCAATTTTATCTTGATAATCTTCTTCTGTTTCCTCTTCTCTGAACCCAGCCCCCAAGAAAGACAAAAAATTAACTGTTAGAGGAGAATATTCCACAGTTTTAACTATTTTTTAAGAAGAAAAGATACCTTTCAAGATTCTTGATGCCGCTGTCCTTTCCTTCATCTTTGGAGCTTGAATTTTCGAAATCACTCCTCCTTGTTCTTTCTCTATGTTGATCATCAGTATTCCTTCTGTGTCTGTAGTCATTTTCCCTATTTCTGTAAGCATCCTCATCTCTGCCATATTTTTCGCGCCTCCTTATTAAACGATCTCTCTCATTATCCCTATCATCATCTCTGCTTCTAACCCTCCTTCCATCTCTAGTGCCTTCTCTATCTCTGTCCCCATCTTTGCCCCTTTCCTCTCTTTCTTTATTTCTCTCCCTTTCCCTATCTCGGAACCTGTCCTGTTCCTTCTCCTCTCTATACCTATCCCTACGTCTGTTGTGTTCTCTCTCTCTGTCTATCTCCTTTTTCTCTTTCTCTCTACTTCCATCTCTATTCCAATTTCTCTCTCTGCTGCCCTCCCTATATTTATCGCGTGCCTCCCTCATGTAATTTCTCTCTATTCTTTCAGTATTTCTGCTAGAACTTCTCTCTCTTTCTTTCTCCTTTATGAAATCTCTGCTGCTATGTCTGTAGGCTTCACCACGTGCAGTCACCCTTTCATCGTAAGACTCGGTCCGCTTTCTACTCTCCATGAAATAGGGGTCCTCCACAGAAGCCTCTCGAGCAAGGCTTCGGGAGCGGGATCTTTCCCTGGACCTATCAGGCGACTTTATTAAATGGCTACGAGAACTCTCTTTTGAGTATTTGTCCTGCGAGCGGGAATATAATACGTCTCTGGATCTATTATCAGATGATGAATGTTTCTTTAGACTTCCCCGATCAACATCATCAAAAGAGTCACTTATCCTCGTACCAACATGGTCATATTTCTTCTCATAATCTCCATTTGCAAGACCCTCCGAGTTTGAAAACCTCTCATGATCTATCTCACCACTTTCTTCGATGTCCATACTGTCCTTTCCCATTTTTTTCTTATCAAGTTTTTTGGTATTCTCTTCATTAACTCCCTGTCAGGAACAAAAAATTGAAAGAAAAAATTACTCTCCAACAATCAGCAACATTACTAAACTAACAATGCAAGCAAAATGTTTTAGACATATATCCAAGTCTTACAATCAATTGAAAGTCATCATTTCAGTCTTCTGGAAAGTGGAAACGCCTAGGGAAACTTTGCCTGGCAACAAAATGTAATTACAGAGTGCAAAGCTCCCTATGAATAAAATTTGTCGTGTCCATGTAATGCATCTAT